AGAAAGGCCAACATTTGCTTCGGAGCAAATGTAATATTTCACTCCATCTCCCTCCCCATACAAAAATAGAAGATTCTGAATAAATCATACTGCAATTATACAAGGACAAGCTTTTTGAATCTCGACAGATATTTACAAAAATGGCACTTGGCCATTATCTCCCTTATTTTTTACAAAGATACAACGACAAGCACGTTAAATCTCGACAGCTTTACTTTACACTTATCTCAATCTCAAAGTTATATATTGCAGGTATCTAAATACTACTAATGACGAAATTGCAACTACTACTAACGGTAGCAAAATTTTCACGGTCTGAGAAACATGGACATGTTCACGGATCTATATATTCACGGTGGTGACAGTTGCAGGAAAAAGAAAGTCCAGGAATTATTTCCTAACTGTAATGATAAGTTCACGGTACAGAGGTGATAGTGAAACCGTGAACATAGACCTCCCGCTTGCGTTACGTTGCGGTACAGTGAAAAAAATTGGGAATTACAGTAATCAATTTACAGAGTATGTTTGCTTAGTTTCCAGATGTTTTGTATCATTGTCGTAAACTTAGCTTTAAATTAACGAAAACCGATGCGCCATCCATACAATCAAATCAACATGGCCTTATTAACAATCACATAAACTATGAAGCCATACATTGAATAAGCTATACATATAATATGATTATCAGAACCTTTATTATTAAAATCATGCCAGTGAGCTAATTGCATGTACAGAGTGAAAGAAAGTAAAGTAAAGCAGTAGAATTTCTGTACTAGCTATGATAGTACTTCATATGATTCGTCCTCATCGTCATCATTCAATGTGGTCTATCTCTTGCTACTAGTGACTGGTAATACCTCTGTAGATTCTTCACACTGGCAGAGTACCGTACTCCTTCTCTCTTGTCAGCTCAATACTTTTGTGACAACATCAAAGTGATTTTAGTTTGTATGGAAAAATACAAAAGACTAACATTCTAAGTTATTGACATTCTTGAGTAAGAACAATCAGTTTTGAATGTTACAAGCAAAACAACGAAAATAAAAAAATGTTGAAATTGTTAAAATGCAGAATTGTTAAAATTGTTAAAACTGATAAAATTGTTAAAACTGATAAAATTGTTAAAAATGTTAAATTGTTAAAAATATTAATGTCCGATGCACTGGGGTTCGAACTTGCAATGCCTGGGATTGCCGCCTTGCGCGTTTCCAACCGAGCTAACTCGGTGCGATACACATCACTCACTGCATTGTATGTCATAAAGTAACAGCATGGCGGTATCGATCGCTTCAAGGCACCAAGACTTTCAACTATTAACTACGGGGTTTCCTTCTTTATCAGGTTTGCTTTTGAACCACCTTGATGTTACTTAACTATCAACCCGGCTAGCAGAAGCCGCCGGCTCCTTTAATATTACAGCCGCTCCCTGTCCAATCTTCGAAAACTGTCGGGCATGCAAGCCCTCGACGCTCGCCAGGAAGCCGTCTCGCGATGTTCTCAGCAACAACAAACGAACGCCTGTACACTCTACAATTTTGGTTGATTCTTCGGAGACCGATAACAGAACCTAGATAATACTAGTTGGTAAAGATTGCGGAAAATTGTTGATACCGTGGCGCGCGCGCCGACGATACACATTACGTACCGCGTAACTTTTTTGTTTACACGCCGGGCGCAGGTCATTGACCTCCAACTTGCGTTGTTCCAACAGAGAAGAGCAAAATGTCTGGCTCCCGCAGAACGTACCGCACTCTCCCGCTGGACGTACCGCACTCTCCCGCAGAACGTATCGCACTCTCCCGGAGGACGTCCCGCACTCTCCCGAGGGAAGTCCCGCACAGCGTCCTGCACTCTCCCGCAGAACGTCCCTCGAAAATCGATGCGTATTTCGTGGCCTGTGCTGTACCTACCAAAACACTTGAGTTCATACTGTCAAAATGGAATGGCTTTGAACAGGTGTTAATTGAGTTAATCCAATCAAATCCAACAGCCAATCAGCAAGAAGAATAGATTGTTCTGCGTCAGGTTCATGCTTGCATGCCCATATATGGGCATACCGCCGAATTCCTTTCTTATTACGTCACGCGCGTACGCCCCCACAGTACTTTCCTATGGGGACCGCTAAAAAAGCAAATAAAACGATTGTAAAAGCTTGTATCAAAAAACTTCAAAAAACGCGGTATTTACCCACTCTACCTCTATACGAAATTCCAGGTAATTTCGCCGAAAAATGAAGGAGTTGAATCAATTTAAAGATGTGGCAGGAGGAGAAGGAGAAGAAGAAGAATCATCAGTAAAAACAGTATTTCACTCCATACTGAAGTATGGAGTGAAATAATGACAGGGTAGACAATGAGTATTACAATATATGACATGTGACTAGTCTAATTTTGACACTAAATTCTATCTCATTGGGTATGACTTCTTTTTCTGCGGCAGTGGAACATGAATGATTCCTTTTTTTTTAATAACATGGATTTTGAGATGTTGAGAGTACAGAGTTAGATGTAGTTTTATTTTATCTTTCTGACAGTAGAGTATATTTAATAATTATCAAACACATTAACCCCACAGATGAGTCTGCTGTCTTGCTGGTCCATACTGAGTATGGCAAAGACAAAGTTGGAAGCTCATTCCTACACCGACAGGTGGTAGGAACAATCAGGGAGCATGAACCAGACATACCTGTGTTCAGTACTGTTTTACAAGCTACTGAGAAGGACAAACAAGATGCACAAGAAGATGGAGTGGAGCTGATACTGCCTAAACTTGAGCCAGGTGACAAAAGGACTGACCCAACACCAGATTGGCTCACATTTGATCATCGCTCCAAATACCCAGACCTTCCGACAAAGGTAAGGAGCATTGTGGGACATGCTGATGTCACAAGTAGGGCTGCAATTAACATAAAAGATGGCCGTTGCCCAGAAGCAAAAGTCGTAACCTTATTTATAATGACACATCAGAAGATACTCAGGGGAATGAGATGGTTGCTTCTGTAAATAACTCTGCCCTCCAAAACGCACAAGAAGCTGATGTGGTCTTCTCCGTTGGAAACAAGGTATTTGATCACTTTGAGAACCAGTTCAGAGCTACTGACAAGCAGCCAAAGCATTTTGAGTTTCTACCAAGACCATCCAAGAAGTTTGAGCACACGAAAGCAAGCTACAAAGACACAAAGACAATGATGGTTCTGTCTATTGGTAGAGTGAAGAGTGTCCACAATCTGAAGGGACATGAGCTTGTTGTTAAAGCCTTGGACACTGCGGCCGGAAAACGGAATATGGAGTGTCGTATCAGAGGCATCAATGAAGAAGACTTCCAAGCAAGTGATAAAGACAATCTTCAGACACACTTCAAGACAACACATTTGAAGCGAACCCTTCATCCCTATGCAACACTGACAGACCTTCACAATGACATGTTCAAGGCCCACCTTGTGTTGATACCTTCCGAAGAAGAACCACTTGAACTTGCAGGACTAGACGCCATCGCTGCAGGAATTCCTGTTCTTGTTTCCGACAAATCAGGACTTGCAGACTTCGTGACCAAGATATCACCAGAGTTCTGTTATTCTGTTGTCGCGACTGAGGGGGATGAACAGGACAAAGTAAAGCAATGGGCCAAGCGTATTGAACAGTCACTGAGTAACTGTGAGACAGAGTTTGAAAGAGCAGCAAGATGCAGGGACAAGCTTCTGTCTGCAAAGTACTGGGAAGAGTCTCAGCAGCAGCTCATCTGCAGCTGTATACAGACAGGTGAGTTGCTATAATACTGAATCAGGGCTATAGCCAGCTTGATTTTTGTTCTGCCAGCCAATGTTCACCATTGGATGTGGGGAGGTGGGTGCACCAAAGTCACTCACAATCTATGGGGGTCCAGGGGTATGTTCCTCTGGTAGATTTGGAATTTTCAAGCCTTCGAAATCACAATTTCCCACATTAACAAGGCATATTGTGGCATGTGGTTGACTGTGGTTCTCTGTGGTTCTTAGCAAAATTTAGCAACATAACAGTTTTTAAATATCATGTTTACTTAGGTCAACCTCACTCAATTGAGTCAATATAATATTTCTATCAATCAGGTGACAGTGTACAACAACCATTTGACGTCCAGACAGGAAGTGCACCTCCTAATATGGAAGAATCAATTGATAGGAGGAAACCATTGCAATCAGGTAATAAGAAGTGTCAGCAATATACTAGTATTCTTCATGGTGGTTTAGTGGGCCGCAAGTATGTAATACTACATGTATGTGCTCTTGGAAAGAGGGTCACTGTAGGCTAGGTCAGTGCAGTATGAATATTAAGCAGGCCAGAGCAACCCACGATAAACATGCTATAAAGTCTATTGCCACTCTTTCTCGAGGGTAAAATGTTTAAAACTGGCCGCAAGTACTGGCCGCAAATGTATTGTACTTGTATCTGCTGTTGATCACTTTTGAAGTGGACAGCACATGTACGTATGTAAATCATTCTAACACAATAATTATTATATGGTAAAAGATTTGATGTTAACTGTCACTGAGCATGTTACTTTCTGATATTCAACTAGGTGGGTCATCTAGAGAGGCAGATGAGGACACTGTGGCTGAGAGGACAGACCAGTCTGGGACTGAAGAAATGGGGTTAACAGAAACACCTGACCAACCAGCTTCAATTCTGTATCAAGCTTCACCTCAACTTGTTGGTATGTTTAAAAGGTTGTGATAATGTTAGTTAAAATGACAACTTGAAAATTATATTATCACAGCAACTACACTGAGCAATATCATGTTATTGCCATTATCACATTCAAGCAAATCTGATGCATGGTGAGATTGGGAAAATTTGTTGTCAAAGTTTTAGACATATATAATATATAATACAAATTATCAATATCTGCTACATAATACTCATGGTAATTTGCCTAATCTTTTCTTGTGATATAAAGTAAAATTTTGTATAATCGTCAGTTAACTAAGGTAGTAAAATGCCTATTCTGTTTCCAGAAGGGCCTCCCCTGCTTCCTGTTGTAGTGGACATAATCACCCAAGTGCTACCAAGTGTTGAGACCCCAGGGGACATGCTGGACTTTGCTTCTGCATTAAATACCCTTTCTACTGTAACAGGAAATGGAGATGAGACACTTCCTAATAGTCTATTGAAACAGGTAAAGGGCAGAGTAAAAACCATCACAGACCTAAAGACAGTAACAAAAGCCATTAAGGAACTAGAAAAATTTAAAGGCATCAAAGTTTCCTCTTTGAAGGAAGGCAGCTTGATCTTCTACCTACAATGTACAGACATGTCTGGGTTGGGTGATCTCTGGTTCATGTACAAAAATGGAGAACTGGACAACCTGCTGCACAGTAGTTTGGTAAGTGTGGAAACTCTACAACAACTCCACGCTGAGAGCATCTCTGTGAAGTCAACCATCAACATAGAGGACTTCAGGAAGGCCTTGGTCCACAACCTTACAACACCTTCTACTAGAGGTACAACATAACTTCAGATTAAATTTTTCTTAGCTCTTTCATATCAGGTATTTAATTGATTTATTGCTTTGTTATACTTTCACAGCTATACATTGCACAATGCAGATGGCTTATTGTTTTCTTTTGCATAAAATCAAATACATTTAAACAATCCAAAGATTTCGAAACAAATTTGAACTGCATACTACATATTATAAAGAATATGTTGGCAGCTGAAGAGTCAATGTTCATAAGGACTTAATAGACTTTCTAATTGATGACGATGATGACATATAAAAAGCAACCTAACAATAATGTAAATGTCATTAATGCTTAGTCTATACTACTATATTATAATTTCAATAAAATGTGAACAGAAAATTTGCTAAATCATCCTCTCTGCTTGATGTTTAAGGCAAACCCACATCAAGACTACCCCAGGAGTACCCCCTCTACCAGCCACACACCCACACCACTAGCCGTGTGCTGGATGTGCTTCATCTGGATGGTACAAGCCTGACAAGGTCTCCAGGGAAACAACAGGAGCTGCACATCCCATCCACTGCACAGACTGAGGACAGTGAGGATCATCTTGGGACCAAACTTGGTGATCAGCCAGTAGCAGGTAACTTATGAATAAACAGTTACCAACTAGAAGAAGACAGTTGTACTGCCAGGAGTAACATTTAGCACGTGTATGCACGTGTATGTGTACAGATGTCAATATCCTATACTTGTTTCATGTATACATATATTGTATATTAATTAGATACTCCCACTTGCCACTATACAGCATTTTACCTTACATGCTACTCCCACATTCAACAGTACGGTGACATGCCACTATCCCACATGCCACTGTCCCACATGTCACTGCCCCACATGCCACAGTGTCTTACATTTTGTACATGTCACTGTCCCATGTCCTACTGTCCCACATGCCACCATCCCATGCCCTACTGTCCCACACGCCAGTGTCCCATATCCTACTGTCCCACACGCCAGTGTCCCATATCCTACTGTCCCACACGCCAGTGTCCCATATCCTACTGTCCCACATGCCACTATCCCATATCCTACTGTCCCACATGCCACTATCCCATATCTTACTGTCCCACATGCCACTATCCTATATCCTACTGTCCCACATCCTACTGACAGTCCCACATAATCTGGTGTGTTACGCCGAAGGGCGGCTACACCGGCTATACATGTATACATATTAGATACAGATATCCTACTACCCACATGCCACTGTCCCATATCCTACTGTCCCACATGCCACTGTCCCACATTTCACTGTCCCACATTCTACTGTCCCACATGCCACTGTCACATACATGTATCCTACATGTATCCTTCCAAAAAAATATCCCATATCCTACAGTCCCACATGCCATCCCATATCCTACTGTCCCACATCCTACTGACAGTCCCACATAATCTGGTGTGTTACGCCGAAGGGCAGCTACACCGGCTATACATGTATACATATTAGATACAGATATCCTACTACCCACATGCCACTGTCCCATATTCTACTGTCCCACATGCCATTGTCCCACATGTCACTGCCCCACATTCTACTGTCCCACATACTAGTACCACTGTCCCATATCCTACTGAGCCACATAAAATGTTTCACATGCATGCCACTGTCTTACAATGTAATATGCTGCTCACAATTTCCCACATGAAAGTGAAACTGTCCTACTTGCTACTAGAAAAGCAAGCAAATGCAGCATAATTGCATGATTGTACATCTTCCTCCCCATAAAAATTAACTGTAATTCAGTTCCAAACTCAAACAAAAGAAAAACTTTCTGTGAACTAGCAAAGAAGAGAAGAGCAATATATTCCATCCATCAGTCTTATGGTAGGGAGTGAAATATAATTATCATAATGATTATGCTACCCCCATTTATGCTATTACACAATTTCCTTAAAGTTTAGCAAACATGCCAATCCTATTTAACAATCACTTTTTCCATGACAATGTGTTTACTTAAATAATACAAGAAGACAAGTTGCCATGGCACAAAAAATGAAGGTGGTTAACTGATATTTGGCAAAAACTACTGTGTCTTTTTTTTTTCTCTCTTGCCATGTCAGGTGAAGTAACACGTACATGTACTTCATGTTTATGCAGGTGCCAGTGTATCACCTGTCAAAGGTGATCAGCACAGATCCACAGATGTGCAGGATGAACAGATGACATCTGAGCTGGCCTTGCACACTTCCGTTAGACCTAAAGACATACAGAGACTAAGAGCAGGGAGCAAGTTGTCTACAGCAAGCATTCGTTCAGGGGCAAGCCACGAATCAACAAGAACTACACACTCAACAGGAACCAGTCAGTCAGCTGATACTGGATACGCCACTGCAAGCATCTTGTCTGAGGATGACAGATCATCTTTAAAATCTGCTTTTAAAATTAGAGGTAAGATTCAGTTTGTCTTCAGACACACAGAATCAACTTCAAGGTGATAAGAGTCATCAAGACTTATGTATCTGATCTGTTTTTCTTTTTTAGTGTTATGAAGAGAATGGTATATAATACTTAAGGCAATATTTTTCTTAATCGTGAATAAAAAACTACTGTCTTAACCCTCAACAGTACACCTTCCCGAACTGATTAATCTGTACACCTGGGGTCCACGCGGACCCCAGAACAGTTTTTTGCTAATTTTTAGAAATTATCAACATGATACCAGCTCAATTGTTTTGCAAACTGATGTGGGAACCTCTGTGTCCACATTACATACAAAAATCATACATTTTGAACTTTTTCTATTTTTTGGTGAAGAAAAGAAGACAAAAAGAAATACCCGATTTTTAAACCCATTTCAGACTGAAGGGGCTTTTGAGGCCCAACTTTGATCTCAGATAGCGGCGCAACGGCTTGCGCTAGAAGTATCAAATTTGGAGACCTTTCCTAAAATGTCTCTGGGAAAAAGTTCATATTAGTTTAATACTAGTAAGTTGTATGTTTTTTGTTGTTGCCATGGCAACGGGTTTCTAGCAGGCAGTTTTTTTGTAAAATAGAAGTAATTTTGGTTTAAACATAAAAATTTTCTGAGTTTTATATTAAATTACACTTCTTTTCCAACATTAATAACATCTTACATAATTAAATATAAGTTAAATCATTTAATATGCATAGAATATGCT